CTTATAAAATATAAGGAAATGTGATATGGAATTTTAAAAAACGTATACAAAACTTATTTATAATAATGAAAAAACGTGTGCAAATTTTTTATAGGGTAGGATACATATCAGAATGATATTGAAATAATAGTGGAAGGAAATCATTAGTAGAAATTTTTCATAATTTGCTAGGATTATAACTTTAAAATTATTCCATTTATCACGAATAGCATCAGCATCAATAATTGGCATTAGGTAATTAGGCTTTTTAGTTATTCTATAAATATTAATTAACTTTTCTAATTTTTCTTCACCATAATCAACTAAACTTTCTTTATCCTTTGGCCATTCCATTGGATTCATTATTTTCATAGCAAATAAAATTGATCTATATGAAAATCTGTCATTAATTTCACAAATGATATCTGTTGCAAATTTTATAATTTCTAGTTATAAATTAATTTTGTTCTCAGATTTAAATAAAATATAATAATCTCCAATAAAAGAATCTTCTGCTAGTGATATTTTTAATAAAAAATTATTTAGATGTACACTTAACTTTGGTTCCAATAATCATTAACATCTAAATATTTATATTGTATTTTTTGAATTATAAAATTAATTATAGGATCAATATCAGAAAACATAATATATCTTCGTTGATACATCTTACTAAGTTCCATTAAATAACCTAAAATATCATATAAAAAATGTAAAAAAGCTAAAACTTTCCAATCACAGATTTTAAAATATAAATCAAATATTAATTGTTGTCTTTGAAAAGAAGTTATTATTGCTATTTCAAGAAATATATCCAGTAATAATTTGATAGATATACATATACTTTTAATTGCTTCATATTAAGATAACTATCTAATCTCAAAAATATTCTTTATTTTTAAAATTGGGTGATCCAATACTGACTGGAATTGCCTTAAAGTATCAACTCTTTTTTCAGCATTACTAAAGAAATTATATGTTTCTTTAATTAAGATTTCGATATATTTATAAAAAGCCACTTTCTTTTGAGCTGAATTACAAGCCAATGTTAATCTATATGCAATGCAATAACTTACAAATAAATAAGGATTTTTATTTATAAGTTTAGTTACCATACCATTATTTTTACCAAGCATTACACTAGTTCTATCTGATAAAAAAGACATAATTTTTTTCTAATCCTAAATTAATAAAGTAATAAATTAAATTAATTTAATTAAAATTTTAATAAATTAACGGTAAATTCTTACCTTTCAATTCAAATAAAGTAAATATAGTTAGAAAAATAATTTCAGCATTTTTACCATTTAAATGTAATAATTTTACATATCTGACTTTAATAAAACCTCTTAAACAATATTTAATATAAAGAATTATATGTGATTCTGTACTAATATCTGTACTTTTATCTATCATAATACCAATATTTGTAGTTCATAAAATTTATTTCACAGTTCTTTTTCAATTGATAAAGATATTGTTGATAATAAATCCTTTGCAGATGTAGGATTTTTGTATGTTATAGAATTTGAATCAGAAATTAAGTTAGGATTTTTAAGTGCATGCCTAAATTATACTAATTGAGAAAATTGATAGAGTGGAAGATTGTTTTTCATCATAAAATAAATAATTTTCATTAAGCTTTCTATATGCTTATTTGCATGATTTACTGCATTTGAAGTAGCTTTAACCATTGAAAGTCTAGCCTTTTCTTTTTGTAAAGCTTCTTTATGACCACCACTATTAACATAATCTTGAATTGCTGATTTTTTGCAAATATTTTTTGAACCTAAATTCAAATTAATCAAATTATAAATTATTAAATTATTTTAAAATTATTAAAAATTAATTTGTTAATAATAATAAATAACCAAAATCTATATAATTCACAGTACATTTTTTTTTCTTCAGAATTATGAAAATTCTTTAAGTCATTTTTTTTTGGAATCCCTTTTTATTAATTTTTACTTTTATTTTTTTTTTAATATGTGAAGATCTTTTTTTTTCTGAGAAGATAGAACTTCATTTACTTTTTCTGTAAAAGATAAATCTTCTTTACTTTTAGATAAAGATTTATCTTCAGTTGATTTATCTTTATTATCATTATTTTTATTAGTATTGACACTAATTGTTTTATAATAATGAAGAATATTAAACATTTTTTACATTTCAAGGTAAAAAATAAAAAAATTTACAAATAAATCATGATTTTTAAAATAAATTTACTTAAAATTATTATTAGCAAAAAAACTGATTAACCTCAAAATTTTATTTTTTTTGATTTGTACAGTTGTATTTATAACTCTGGTCAAGATTGTAATATCCCATGAAGAGTACTAGTATACTATCCAAGTCGAAGTGTAAATAAAATTTTTTTTGAATCTATCATCACTTAATCGTAAATAATTAATATACTGTGTTTCCTTTATTATTTGACTTGCTGTAAGATGTTTTTCTGTATTGTGTTGCAAAAGACTGTAAAATATTTTAACAGAAGAATCAGAGAATTTAGGCAATTCTGTCCTCATTATCTTTAGAATTGAATGATCTTTTAATTGCTAATAGAAAATATCTGATAAAAATATTAAAGATGCTTTAGTATAATTTCTACGGTTAAAATTAAGAAAAACAGTCCAAACCCAAAATCATGATTTAATGTAAGAGTTAAAATTACTAACATGAAAAAATAAAGCATAAATGTCTAAGACCAATAGAATCATATTGTCCAATAGATCTTTAAGTGCAATATATTCTGCATCCTTACATATGCGACTAAATTTTAATTTAACTATTGCTGCAATTTCTTACTATGCACTATGTGAAAGTTCTAATAATAAGTTTATATACTATGATTTTAGCTTTTGAGCAAGCAGTTTTGTTCGTCAAAGATGTATTTATACATTATAAAAAAAGATTGATATTAAAGAAATATCAACTCATGGCTATTTAACAAGATGTGCAAAGGATCCATTATTGAAAGGTAAGATAAAATTTCATTTGTAAAGAAGAATCACTATAAATAAGAAAACGTGATATAGCAGTTCTCAAAAATATTTGATCAGGCCAATCAACTACAACCAGAATAACATTACCTTTCTTGATATATTTATTCATTGTAAGGATAGAAGTAATAGCATTAGTTGTATTAACATAAGCTTTTACTGAATGAAGATTGTTTTGCACAAGATCTATAAGTATTACATTTTTCATTGATCTAGTACATCTTTTTTTCTTTAAACAAATATCATAACTATAGATGATTAGCTCTTTGAGCTTTATTTCATCATTCATAATATAAAATCTCTAGCGTTGGTTATGAGGTAATGAATATAATGACATAAAATTATTATCAATGCTGATTTTGATTAATGAAGCATCAACTAATATAGGATTATGAATATCTTGCTTTAGTATTGCTGGCTTATTCATTATTGGATTAAGTAAAATAATAGCAAGATGTACTGCAGTTGATGTTGTAACTATATTAGGTATTCTTTTAATATGAATGCTGTGATAATCATCAATATTTAAAATCATTGCATTACTGGTGCTTTTTAAAAACCTTGATTCTACAGTCTCTGAATATTTTTTAGACACAGCATCCTTGTGATAAGAAATTGTGTGAGATGTTATTATCAAACCCAATATCGTTAAGGTATTTATTATCAAATTAGATGTTCCAGTAGAATCTAAATACATGCCAAGATCTTATTTTGCATTGTTAACAAATTTATTTCTAATACCGCAAAGATAATATCATAAAATACAATTGCTTTGATACCTTTTCTATTATATCTTTATTTTTTTGTTAATGGATTGGTTAATAATACAATTCATCAAAGAAATGCTTTAATCACTTATTATTTAATTCTATAAGTATACAAATTTCTTCAAATGTCTAAATTGGTGATAACAATTTATACTCCCTTTCATAAAGAATGTTTATAATTATTCCTATAGCTTATGAAAAGACAAAATATTATTATTAGAAGTTTCTGGCTCAGATTCAAGCTTATTAAGAGATTGTACTAGTATATATTGTTAAAATTCAGAAGAAATATTAGTAAGGATTGTATTATAACATTGTAAGCATATAACATCATTTTCTTTAATATAAAAAGGAAGTATTTTGTTAGCCTTTCCACAAGATATCATCAGGTCAGTAACAGTTTACTATGTTACAGAACTTCTTTTGCAAATTTCTATAGCACACAGTCCTTTGAATTTTTTTGGTTTATCTATAAAGTCACTACTAAACTAATACTCCTTGAATAAGAGATTATTAAAGATTAATTTTAATAGTAATGTTCTAAGTCTCTAATGAAACTATATGTATAAAAAAATTTTTTTCTTAAATTTGTGAAATCTTATTTCTAAAAAAGTATTTTAAACTGTATAAATAATGGGACTATTAAATAGGAATGTAATAGCCAATCATGTGATCTTCTTCCTATATCTCTCAATATGACTCTCAGTAGTGATAGAACTTAAAAATATTTTGGTTTTTTTTTAAATTAATAATTAATTATTAAGTTAAAAATTGAATTATTAATGCTAAAAATTCTGATTGATCAAATTTAAATAAATCATATGATAACGTTTTTTCTGATAAAGCGAGAATCTTTTTATTGAAATTATATCTATAATATAAAATTAATTCCTTTAGTTAGTGCTATTTTAATTAATTATAGATTAAACATTTTAAGCAAAATAGAGGACTGTAAATTATTATCGCCATCAAATATGCTAATATCATTAATTATTCTTGCTGACGTTTGTTTTAAGTCATTTATCATTTCATTCACATTCACATTATCTCTACCTGATATATCATCTTTAATATTATAATTTAATCTATTATATATTTTCAAAGAATCTTGAGCTTTTTTTGAATTATTTACAGAATATTTTTCTCTTAAATACTATGTAATTTGCATCATTTTGATAGTTCTTTTTAGTGATAATCTATTATGCTATTTTGTATGTATATTACTCATAAGAGATCACATATTTTCTAAAGTTGCTGAGTTTGGTATAATTGAAAAAAATCTACAAGCAAATTCAGCTAAATTTAATGCATAAAGTAGAATAGTTCGCCAATATCTTAATAGAATTTTGGTAAGTTTTGAACTATTTAAAGATTCTGCTTTAAAAGGATCTTTCTTATTTTGATAATTTAACTATTCATCTACAAATGCATTGTTATCTTTATCTGGATATAATATACAAAATAATGCATAGGCATCTTCTTTCAATATGATGATATGAATGCAAAAATCAGATAATGAGAAAAATTGGATTATAAATTTTTCTCTACTGATTATCAATCTCATTACCCATTAAAGTTTTAAATTCTCTTTTACTAAGAGGTAATTTGTTAATAATTTCTCTTAACCACGACCATGTAGCTGCAACTTGTCTAAGAGTAGCTTGTTCAGATTTCAAAATCATAATAATATGATCATAAAGCTTTAATAAATCATAAAATATTATAAGTTTTTCCCAAAATTCAAGATTTTCTATAGTATTAATTATACAATAATTATCTGTTCCTCTATTTGTAATTAAAAAATTAGGATAAGTAATAGCCATAATCTATTAAAGAAAATAAGAATTTAGTAAAATTTAAAATTATAAAATGATTAACTAATTATTTTACTTACTCTTATAGTATCTTAAAGCGATAAAATAGTTTTTGTAGTCTTAGAAAAAGTTGTCCAATGTGTAATACAAGAATACTGAGATATCAAATTTGGATTCTGTGATAATTCTCACAATTATGCTAAGGCCAAATTTGAATTTCGAAAATGATTAATTATTATCAAAAGAATTATAATAATAGATTCAAAAATAGGTGAATTTATAATCTTTTTGACAAGCTAATTTGTTTGATGAGCTATACAAAGTACAGTAAGAACTTTTCTGCTTATTTCTAAATTCTTATTTTCAAAAGTATAATATTTAATTAAATTTTCAAATATTAGTAAAATTTAAATGCAATAACTTATTTTGCGTATAAGACATTATGCTTTAGCTATATTCAGTCCACTATCAGATACAAATCCTATTCATTTGTCAGTTCCAAACTCCATTCTAACTTTTTTATATGCTTTAAATATAATATCTCTGATATGATGAATATTTGAGAAGTTTATTATTTTTCAAATTTGACTTTGACACTTTTCATTTGTAAGAATAAAATTAACTATGTTTATTTGGATACATTTGTTTATCAATTTTCAGATAAAGTTAAAAACTTAGCTTACATAGCAAATTTCTCTATTTTATTCTTTATTTCTTTATGAATTTGATCTAAAACTTCTGTGCTAATCTATTTTCGTGATGGTAAATTATATGAAGATCATAACATTTTAAACAATTTGTTAACTTCAGGATCTTTTACAAAAGAAAAAGAAACATTTGCTGAAAGTAATGCATGTAATAATTGGCGATGTATTGCTGCTGCTTCATTTGTAAATATATTCTTATCTACAAAAGACTCTATAGATTTTTGTATGCTGTGAACTTCAGATTCATTTTCATCTACATTAGATAAAAAAGTATTATATTTGTTTATTTATTAGAGAAATCAACAATAACATTTTAAATTAAATAATTTATTACTATTATCACTTGAATCAGCAGTTTTAACATGAGGATATTTATATTTATTATTATTTTTTTTATTATTTGTATTATCCAAATTATGTAAAATATCACAAATTTCTTCACTAATTTTAGTGCATTCTTTAAGATGTTTTAACATATTAGCAGGAATACCATCCATTTTTTCAGAACAATACTTGCATGTTACTTTATAGTGAAAATTATTAAGCAATGGCCACGTGAAACATATTGGCATCTGAATTCGAGAACACAGCACACTTTTACCTTTCCAACTACGTTTGATAGGCACTATTGGAACAACTTCGTCCCCTTCTAAGGTTGTTATTGTAGGTCTCTTATATTCATCAAATTTAATGAATACTGCTATGGGGAGTGAAGGTGGTTCACGATCCTTATATATGATATCTTTTACAACTCCCATTGATCCATTAACTAATCCTCCTTCGATCCATAAATTTGCCGTTAGCATGACTCGTGAATCTTTTGCCAATAACAATTGGGCTTCAAGACCCTTTGCCACATCTGAATCAGCTTTTTAGCTATTATTACTTATAGTACTTATAGTGAACTTTGTCGCTAATCGGAAGTGCATTCCTGATTTGCCGATCATACGGACCATGGAATTCAATTAAGTTTCTGTGATTGAACGAACTCCGACAAATTGGTTTCCGAAACCATTACCTAGTACTTATTAACTTACATAGATTAAAAAAGCAAGATATGCAATTTAATTAATAACTATGATACTTATTAATTATTTATTAATTAAGATTAATATTTAAGAATTTTAAAAAGTCCCATCACTAGACTCTCAGTATTACTGACTCACAGTAATTAGTCTATGGAAACATATAAATATGAGATACATAACCAAGATGTCTCGTCAAACTATCTTTCGCCAACCCAAGAACAAACGAAGATCGAGGAAATTTCTCTACCTGCTAGTATAAATTATCCGAAAAGGTACTTATTTGTGTTATACTGAAAAGTTACTTTTTGAACTTTGTTTCTAACTCTCGATTTTCGCGTTTGCAGATATACCGACATCATGGTATTTTGTCTCGTTCAAGGTGACGCTATTAAAAACTCTTTTCCGATTGATACTAGTGGTCACACGACCGTTGGGCATCTCAAAAAAGCTATAAAGGACGAGAAACAAAATGCCTTTAGTGGCATTGACGCAGACAAACTGACATTATGGAGAGTCGATATTGTACAAACCAAGGAAAATCAAGAAATGACAATAAAAGAACACAAAGGAGTAGAGTTGCATTCATTCGAATCTGTTGGAACTCATTTTCAAGAAGTACCCTTTAGCACTAACATCCGTATCATCGTCCAACCGCTTCTGCCCGCCACCACTGGTAAGTGTCTCCCAATGGTTTATCTCTCGAACAAGAAATTCGCGTTATCTCACATCTTATATTTTTTTTTATTCGATCAGGGAAAAGAAGACACAGAGACTCGGACTCAGATGAAGAAAGCAGAACCCAAAAAAAAGAGAGACAAACACGTGTGTAATATTTACTGCTTGTGATGTTGACTAGTAATCATGTTCTTATTTTAACATTTACATTTCATTTTTAGCGAAAACCTTGTCTTCTTTTCTTAGTTCGTTAGTATTGCAACCTTATCCCATAAATATTCCTTCACACAAATTTTACGATCGTGATCAAGCTCTAAATTCGATGTTGGAAATTGCTCGTTTTAACTACGAGGGGCGCAAAAGTAACGACCATAAAGATCATTATTTCCTCCTAATTCCTGGAGGGATTGGAATAGGAAAGACACGTATGGGATGGGAATCGCAGTTTCTGAAAGGAGAGCATGCCGACAGTGCAGAATTCAAGGAAGCTTTGGAAAATCCCTGTTATATATTCATTGATCTAAATAATGGGTGCAAGTATGTTCCAGGTTTTGACTGTAAGACAAGACCAGGGATACGAATAGGTGCACGTGTTGCGCTGGCTTATGGTTTAATTCCTAGCTTACATTATTTATTAACAACTGAACCTGAAGTTACTGAGCTATTTGAACTTTCTAACGTGATTTATGAAATATTTCAACGACTGCATCCAAATAAACCTGGTAATCCGGTTGAGGCTATCATCATCCATATTGATGAGTATCAACTTTATATCAATGCTGTTCAACAGTACAAAAGCAAATCATGGATGGAAGCTCGTGAATTTTTTAAAGATATGTTAAAGGAGATTGGTAGTGTCATGCGTGGTTTCATGACAATAAATACAGAAACTGGATATACACGAAATCATGGAATTACCGGTAAATATTTTATCATCCCTATCTGTACGGGGACATCTGCCATCGACCTTCATTTTTTACCTACGGAACATACAAGAAAATTGTTGGAGCTTTATCCTTTGAACTATGAATCGGCGAAATCAATGTTCCTTGATAAGTATGATTATTCAAGGCAAGCAACCGAAGAAGGAAGAAATCTAGTAGTTCAAGGCCTCAAGTCATATCACTCGTCTGATCTTAATAATAATGAATGTATCGAAGAGCTTTCAAAAGTTTTTTGCAATTTTGTGTTGAATCAACAACACTTTTGCATCGCCATGTCTGACACCGGCTTTATTCCAAAATTTATTGACGATCTCTTAAGTCCTACCCTTATGTCATATTTTGACTGGGGAAATCTACTTTTTACTAAAATATCTCAGCGGAATATTGCTAAAATTGGAAATAATCCAAATGAATGGAAAGATCTTGATGATATACGTACTGTGATCTCATTTGGGCTTACCAGACAACTTATAAAGCGAAATTTTCAACTAAAGAGTGGCATATCCATTGGTGAACTTGAGCGATCTGGTTTGATCTATCTTTCTAACACTAATGATGAATGGTATACTGTCGTTATGCCCTTTATGCTATTGAAAGTTCTCAACAACAAGCTTCTGGTATCTAATGTAGAACCTGTGTTTCAAGATAATCTTCTTTTAATCCCAACACATGAAACTCCTTGGCAATGGCAAAATTTTGAACTTTTATATGGGCATTTCCAAAAAGCCCTTATTGATAGTTTAATCTACGTTCAAGAGTCAAGGATAAATTCTGTTAATCATGAAATTCGACTACTTAAAAAAGATTTGGAAAAACAAGAGGATAATAACGAAAAAATCATAATTGAGAACCAAATTGATTCGCAAAACCAAGAGCTTGACCGCCAAAAAAGGCATAATTGGCAACTATCTGATATATTTCGTGGTGCTTTAGGTGCTGACACACTTCTCCAACGCAAGGTACGATTACATAATCTCAAAGTCTTTACTGAGAATAAGAAGTTTCTTGTAAAGACAGATGATGTTGCAAGTTTTGATAAGTCAGTGTTATGTGATGATAACATAACCCGCTCACTTGAGGAAGGCATTTTTCGCTGTTACCAAGGGAATGCTAACATAGATCACCGCTGGTTTCTTGATTCTGCCGACAATGGAAAAAAATTAGCAATCTTTTCACAAATCAAGTACTCAGAACGCGGTGTAACAACCAAAATGTCTACACCAGATATTAAAGATTGGTACGATATAACAATGAAATCAGTAGAAAATTATAAGAACGACTATGATGTGGTTCTTGTTTTGTTCACAAACCGGAAATGTACAGGAAAAATTAATATCGAAACAATGCCTCATCTACTTCTCATTTAT